CTGAGAGGAGGAACACCAGAATCTGTGGCCTGAACTTTGAACTGGAAAGTTTTTAACTCCTCGTAGTTAAACGACTGCAGGCTGACTATGTCTCCAGTCTCTGAATTTATGTTCAAAACAGATGAAATTGGAACAGTTTTTGGAGAACTGTGTAACAGTTTGTAGGTAATCTTTGCATTTGTATCTTGATCAGAATCAAAGGCTTTTATAGTGTGTAGAAGTGAGCCCACTGGGCTGTTTTCTTTGACAAAAGCATGTATCACAGGCTCCATAAACTGAGGTGGATTATCATTAACATCAGCAACATGAACATTTATGACACTGAAGCTGGAGAGAGGGGGACTGCCTTCGTCTATAGCTGTAATAGTGACATTGTAAAGAGAAACCTGTTCTCTGTCCAGTGGTCCATCTACAACTATTGAATAATCATTTTTATAGTTTGGTGTCAACTTAAACGGAACAGAGCCCACTAAGCTGCATTTGGTAACGCCATTGTTTCCTCCATCTTCATCATTCACTGTAATAAATGCAACAACAGTCCCCAGTTCAGCGCCCTCACTTACAGGCGTCATCAGTGACGTCACGGCTATCTCTGGAGGATTATCATTAACATCAATAATCTCAATCAGTAGCTTCGCGTGTGCACTGCGTGGAAATGGGCCATGATCCATAGCTTGAACTCTCACTTCATAGGCAGCTGTCTCCTCATAATCTAAATGGCCTCGAACAGTTATTTCTCCCGTTTCTGAATTGAGATTATAAATATTTGATGGATCAATGTTTCCTCTTTTGATAAAGGAATAAACTATTTTACCATTACTGCCCTCATCTAAATCTGTTGCATTTAATTTGATAACAAATGTTCCAGGAGTCGCATTTTCTGTTATTCTCGCTTTATAAAGAGACTTACTGAATACAGGCGTATTATCATTAGCATCTATCACATTGACAGTTAGCTGCAAGGTCCCCGATCTTGCTGGTTTACCTCCATCTACAGCGGTCAGAATGAGTTTAATTACTGGTTCTTTTTCTCTGTCTAAAGCTTTCTGTAACACCAACTCAGCAGAAACCCCGTGTTCTCCGCCGCTCTGCACATCTAGAGAGAAGTGTTCATTTTGACTAAGCTTGTAGGTCTTCACAGCATTGTTTCCTATGTCTGCATCAACTGCCACTGGAAGCAGATACCGCTCTCCCTGCGACATCGATTCCGAGATATTTAACACATGCCACGAGTCTATAAAGGAAGGGGAGTTATCGTTCATGTCGAGGATGTTTACCTCAATGCGATGTACACTCATCGGATCCTTTAAAGCGGCTTGAATTTTGACGGAGCATTTCGCCACAAGCGGACAAAGCTCCTCTCTGTCTATTCTCTCATTAACAAAGAGATTCCCAGTTAGCAAATTCACGTCAAAATATTTCTTACTGAAACTTGAAACAATACGCAGATCCCTGGTCTCCAGTTCTGGCATATTGAGGTTTAAATCCTTTGCAATGTTCCCCACTACCGTGCCTTTGTTCACCTCCTCGGGAACGGAATAAGATAACTGCGAAGCAGAGCCGTCACAGAGACAAAGCAGCGCAATAAAATTAATCCAAACGTGCCCATTTCGTCGTCGCACATGCATATTGGAAGCAGCAGAAAAGATGAACGGAAATGACCATTTACATGGAGTGTAAATTATTCCTTTGAGCAGTTTCAGCTCCGTCTCCTATCCGCTATGTCACCGAATATCGTGGAAACTATCATGGTTGATCACCCGTTATTTTATCACCGTGTTTAGAGGAGGAGTTTACACACTTGAACAACTTCATACCTGCGGTCTCCAGCGACACTGTGTGGTTAAAAGTAAATACATCCAATAAATAATATAAAACAAAACGTATCCATTCAGAAAAAAACAATTAATTACCACTATTCTCGAGTCGATTGACAGCAGTGTATTAAAATATCAAGATTACTGAAAAAAATACATATAGGCCTACTATAAAAGAAAAATCTTGGAGCACTAGTATTAAATATTTTAAAATGATCAATATTCAGAATGAAAAGATTAACTATGGACAAAGTTTGACTGGTTAACCTATTCGAAATATTTGTATTGTAAAATGTACATTTCCTTTTACTTTGTCCAACTAAAACACTTTACATTATATTCCAGTTGCCATTGAGAAACTCCTTTACGCAAATATGTTTTAGTTCACTCTGACTTCAGTACCACGGACAGCGCCATAGAGCAGCATTATGTTGAGAGACTCAACTTGTTTTCTCATTGCTTTGACACATTTGAGAACAGAATATTAAAATGACTTCATATATATCAACAAGATTAAAGTTTCTAAGTCTCAGTTTTTAAATGTGATGTCAAAATAGCTTAACCTTTGTAAATGACAAATTTAAAGGTGAGTGCTGTCTTTTATAGGTTGAACTGCATTTTCTCTGCAACTTCAATTTACTGATGAGATACATTGCATGACTAGCATAAATACATGTAACTTAACATTTATAAAGGATTGCATTCCCTGCATTATACTGGAGATTTTTCTTTTTTTTAATCAGCGAATGATAGTGATTTAAAGCAGCGTCAAGGAGGACCATTTATGAAAAAGCTCAAATTAGCTTCTTTACCAAAAAGGACCAAGTGTGGCACAAACATACAAAGAGTTGCATACAAACTTAAGCAGTTTAGGAACTAAATACACATTTACAAAAAGGTAAGTCTAAATTAGATTACTGAAAGAAAGTGACTATTTCTTTTCACATTTTTTTAAGTATCAAGATGAGAACTGTTGACGATAAACAACCCTCTTTATAGTGTATGGAGAGAATGACTCACCTTCTCTGTGTTGGGTAAAGTTTGAGTTCTGGTAAAAGTGTCTCCTCCATTAATACTGATCAATTCTGCATCTACAGGTGGAAACGGGGCGGGGAA